TCACTAGAGCATTCTGAGTCAGAAAATATATCTTGGTTTTAACCCGAATATAGTTTGTTAATCTATTAATTCTTGTCTTGCCCAAATGGATTTCAATACAGAATTTCCTTTCTGAATAGCCAGGGTCTCTATACAATGGATTGGAATGAGTTGTGTGCTTAATCGAGAAATATGGCTAATGTCAGAAATAAAGATAAAGAGACATGAATCATACATATCTTAACCCACAGACACAATTACTACAAGAAACAAGTCGAGCCATGATCGAAGTAAGAGTTAGGCTTGGTTGTGTAAATTCATTTTATGCTCAATCGATTGTTTATTATTATCCGTACCAAGTTATTTTATACAATTATCTTAACATCCTTATTTTTTGCTATGTAAACTTACAGTCCTCAACATGTCATCGTCGAGCTTTCACGCTTCACCGTGTTTCGCTCAACCACTCAATTTTATAAATTGTTTATAAATACTTAAATTACTTTATTCACACGCTTCACCATGTTTCGTTCAACAGCTCAAGTTTATAAATTGTTTATAAATATTTAAATTACTTTATTTGCACATTTCAAAAGATTGACAGGTATTATTACGTATTCACTACTCTTATTTATTTATTTATTCATAATTTGAATACATTTTTCAAACATGTTATAAAATATATAATGATCAAAAGATAGCCATTCCTCCTACCAATCACCTTTCTCCTGTGGTGTTACATTCAAACAAGTTATGAAGAAATCAAATATAAGAAAGCAGTTTCATGCGATCATTAAATTAATCAATTTTTATTTGTTTATGCATAGTTACTGTACAATCTATTAACATAAAAATGAAACTTTGAAAAATGAAAATGAAAATTTTACTTTGTCGAATAAGTGACGTCATGGTAGATAGTCTTTTAAAATAAATATTCTTTAATGTTACTCAAGCATCATGGCTCTTCACGGGTTTCAAGTGAATGACGTCAAAAGAAAAGATGTCGCCGTCGAATCTTCCAAATAGAGGGTATAAAGAAAACTTTAATTTTTGTTTCGCGTGGAAATCGAGCATCGCTAACAATTAAAAAAAGATTCAGACGATTGTGTAAGGAACGACAACCTCTCACAACAAAGTCTCAACGATGGGTGTTTTATTTATGAAGATTACAATATGGACGATGCGAAATGCCTTCAAGGGGCACAAGCACACTGAATTCGCAAAGTAATTGAAAGTTAACAGGAAGAAAAGAAATAAAACTACATAGTTCTTTGNTGCCTCCAAGGAGCACAAGCACACTAAATTCGCAAAGCAATTGAAAGTTAACAAAAAGAAAGAAATGAAAATTACATATTTCTCTATTTGAGAGTCGTTTGATTGATCTACTTCTTTTAAATTCTTCTTTCTCTTTTATACTCCTTCGACAGTTATCCTTATAGAATTGTTTGAAAACTACTTCTCGCTTTGTAACTACCCACGTTCTCCATAATGGATGTCTTGTCAAGAAACTACCATTTTCAACCGCTGTCATTACTCTCATCACTAAACTCCTTGCAACCGTGATTCTTGGATCATGGAATGTGATAAGATTACCCATTAACTGCTTTAATAATCGTTGCTCCGAATAGTAACCCAAACACTATATTCACCCAAATCTTGGGCGTCTCATAGGCTTGAGCAATGATAGGCTCGCCCAGATCTTGGACGTCTAGTAGGTTTGAGCGAGGATGGGCCTTCATTACATAACTTCGTCTTGGGTTTTTATATGATCTCATTTGGGTCCATCCTTCGAATTTCCTAACTGGGCTTCGTTCTTTGCACCATTTAATTGGGCCTCATTTTTTGTAGGTCAACAATTACCCCCCAATATGGCAAAATTAATATCAATTATTTATATTTACCATATTCTTCCTTTGTATTTTCTGTCAACACTTGAAATCCCAAAAGGGCGGAGAATCCCAATCATTATTTCCGTTTGGCGGTAACCCTCTACATCCTGAAGAGAGTAACATCACACAACTCCTATAAACCAAAGGACAAGCCACTTCATCGCTCCATTATACCCACGTCTTGCATCGCGCGCTTTTCTTTCAACTATAAAGACCACTGTTCATCTTCTTGCTTCTCTGCTACGCTTCTCAAAAACCCTCACCAAGACTGTATTTTGTAGCAAATGGCGATTTCATAGAGCCCTTTTTCCGACAACTCCCTTAGTTTCGAAGATTTCCAAAACCTCCTTACCAAGCCGTATATAAATTCAGCTTCCCTTTCACCAGCCAACCCTGACATCCATGAATTCTACCTAGGCCCGTCATTTAATGATGCTGAATCTGTTGAGCAATCGCAAGTGGGCCAACTATTCCCTTGCACTTAAGATCCTCTTTTTCTGAACTCTCTACCGCTAAAGCCAATCAACGAAAAAGGTATTCGCACTTGGCCCAAAACTGATACTATTTTTCGCCTGTGGCATGCACGTATGGTAAATTATGGCCCTAGCAAGGGGATTTTTGACCATATTAGAATTTCGGATTTATTAGAAATCGTTCTCCGTCCCCCAATCTATGATGTCGTGCTTTTCCCTATTACTATAAGTTTTTGGTCTTTTAAGTATAATACTTTTATTTTCCCGCTTGGCATAATGTCTATTACCTTGAGGGATGTTGGAGCCCTAGTAAACCTTCCACCCTTGGGCGACACCATTTCTCCTGCCATTTTGATTACCGGCGTTGCCCCAAAATTTGAGAAAAGATTCACTGATTCTTACTTGGGCATGCATGAGCTTTATAATAATTCTGGTGCTGAACCTACTCACGCTGAGTGTGTTGCTCTTCTCCAAGTTTGGCTCTGTAAATACATTCTTTGTGTGCCCAGCGTTAAACCTTCCATGAGTTATTTGCCCATAGCGCATGAACTAGCATGTGGTAGACCTTTAAATCTTTGTTCATTATTCTTAGCCGCCTTTTATAGAGGCATGGCTTCCCTTCAACACCAGTTAAGGAATGGTGCATCTCTTACTGGCAGCGGGCCTTTTTGGCTCGCTCAATTGTGGTTGAGAGCATACTTTCCACAGCTTGGTGCTTCATCCACTCCTTCTCGATCTATTAGTTGTTATAGGCTGGCCATCAACCAATTGAGCCCTGTTAATATGTCTAACATGGACATTTTCTCATTCTTTTATAACTTGAATTCCATCACTTCCTTTTTTCCTTTTCCTGCTCACTCAATTCCAAAATATGTGCAACCTCTTTCTACCATGGATGATGTAAGCATATTTTTGCCCATTTGGGCCCAATATTTGACTGGGAAAGAATTTTTCAAAGACATCTTAACCGGAACAAACGCCAATGCAGGGGTTGAGATATATGCTTCCCAGTTTTTTGCCTGTCAGCTTGGTTTTGGCCAAACGTGGCCTGTTTTCCCCTATTTTTCCAAAAGCCTGATGGACAGTTTTCATACTATCAATAAAACAGAGGCACAGGCAATCGATGCCCGTAACACTCTTTTGACAAACGGTTTCTCCTTGGCCCCTTTTAATCCCACTCTTGTCATTCACCCTCTTTTTGAAAAGTTTG